ACCACCGTGGACACCCAAGAGACCCCCGTGACACCTGACGGGACCACCATGGCCACCCAAGAGACCACTGTGGCCATCCAAGAGACCACTGTGGCCACCCCAGTGACCACCACAATACCTGATGAGACCACCGTGGACACCCAAGAGACCACTGTGGACACCCAAGAGACCACTGTGGATACCCAAGAGACCACTGTGGCCACCCCAGTGACCACCACAATACCTGATGGGACCACTGTGGCCACCCAAGAGACCACTGTGGCCACCCAAGAGACCACTGTGGATACCCAAGAGACCACCATGGATACCCAAGAGACCACTGTGGCCACCCCAGTGACCACCACAATACCTGATGGGACCACCATGGACACCCAAGAAACCCCCACGTCACCCACCACCACCCTGGAGCCCACCACGGTCACCCAGGTCACCCCACCGTCACCCACCACCACTCTGGAGCCCACCACGGAAACCTCCAGCACCCCGGAGACCTCCACCTCCACCCTGGTGACCACCACGGCAACGCCCACCATCACTGTGGAGACCTCTACAAGCAGCCGGGTGACCCCTACGACATCCGTGACCACCCTGGGGACCCTCACGGCATCCACCATCACCCAAGGGACCCCCACAACCACCTCGAGGACCTCCACGACCACCCTGAGGACCTCCACAACAACATCCACCGCTCAAGGGACCACCACGACCACTCGGGTGACCCCCACGGCGCCCACCACCACCAAGGTGACCACCACGGGTCCTCCTCCAGGTGAGTGACCACAGATGACCTTCACTGTCCTCGTGCCACCCCCTCAGCTGGGCTGTCCCCCTGAGCCGGGTGTCCCCAGGCTCCTCCCCTGATGTCCCCGTGTCCCCCCCAGGGCTGTGTGAGAACGGGGGGACCCCCGGTGGCACCGGCTGTCTCTGCACCCCGTCCTACGCCGGTCCCCGCTGCGAGTTCTCCACCGACACCATCGAGACCAACCTGCGTGAGTGACACGGCCACCCCACAGCCGGGGGACATCTCCAGGGTCCTGGTCTTCTTGGAGATCCTGGTCCTCTTGAGGGTCCTCAGCACTTTGGGGGTCCTGGTCCTCTTGGGAGTCCTCAGCACCTTGGGGGTCCTCAGCACCTTGGAGATCCTGGTCTTCTTGGGGGTCCTGGTCTTCTTGGAGATCCCTCAACACTTTAGGGGTCCTGATCTCTTGGGGATCCTGGACACCCTGGAGGTCCTGGTCTCTTGGGGTTCCTGACCATCCCAAAGGTCCTGGTCACTTTGGGGGTCCTGGACACCCTGGAGGTCTCCTGGTCACTTTGGGGGTCCTGGACACCCTGGAGGTCTCCTGGTCACTTTGGAGGTCATGGACACCCTGGAGGTCCAGGTCACTTTGGGGGTCCTGGACACCCTGGAGGTCTCCTGGTCACTTTGGGGGTCCTGGACACCCTGGAGGTCTCCTGGTCACTTTGGGGGTCCTG